CACACACACACACACACACACACACACACACACACACGCCTCACCTCCCAACCCTGATCCGGTCCTGGGGTCTGAGCTACCAAGGAGTTGCCACCCTACTGTCCTCCCTGACCCAGGCCCTGCTCTGCCTAGACCATCCCGGGTCTAGTTCCACCCCTCTGATGACAGAGGGGACAGCAGTCACCATCAGGGCTCCGCCAATCCACCCCCCAACCCTGCTCTCTGACCTCCCTGCATGGGAGAAGGAACAGTAGGGACAGAGGGAGAACGAAGCCTGTGTCCTCTTGGGTCGCACAGGACAAGGAGCAGCAGCACCTGGTGGCCAAGATGGAGAAGCTGCAGGAGGAGGTAAGCTGAAGCCCTGCCCCCTCAGCGCCCCTCTGGTCTTCCCAGATCCAACCATGCTGCTCCAAAGGCCCGCAGCAGCCAGGCACCCAACACCCCAAGGCTGATGGCGAAGGAGCTGTATGACACACTGCAGAGCGTGTGAACCACTATAGCTGCTCCGAGTGTGAGGAATGGGGTCGGACTGCCAGGGTTCATGGTTCTGCCCTTGCTCGTAACTTCACTCCTCACCTACAAAAGTGGCCATAATGACAGTCTCCCTCCTGTGGTGATGTGAGATTATCCGCTGCTAGAGTCTGGGGCACAAGGCAGGACCCACAGCGCCCCTGTGGGTTTCCAAAGCTTGGGTCTTTCTTTCACTGAGCCGCTGGTGGTGTTTAGATGTCTTGCCGTGTGTTGTGTTTCTGTGTTGTGTTTTGTGGTGAGAAGAGCACTGACTTTGAAGTCAGACCACCCTGACCTCCGTTCCCATCACCAGCACTTACCTGGCAGGAGACCCTTAGGCAGGGCCTTCTCTCTGCCTGTTTTACTCAGCTCAACCGTGCCTGGTCGGTGGGTGGGAGCGACACGAAGCTCAGGACCCTCCATTTAGGGCACACAGGCTCTGCTCTGACTCAGGCCCCGTTCTGTCACACACAGACGTATCTTCTGGGTTCCTTCTGGATCAGCCTTCTCCTTAGAGGTTGACATGGGAGATCACTGCCCCCAAGGTGGCATTTCAGGTGCCAGGGACCTAGGAGTGCCCTAGGAGATGGCCCATCCTCCTGTACTCAACGTGTGCTCTCTGCTGTTCCATCAGAGAGATTGATGGTCCTCAACCCATCTGTTCCTCCACCTTCATCTCCCTGCAGGCTGGCGTCCGCTGAGAGCCCTGAGTCATAGCCGCACTGCCTCTGCGGAGAGTGCCCCTCGCCAGAGTCCGGGTTCCCCTTGCCTGCTGCCCTAGAACACTTTGGGGACAGTGGTACCTTACTAGGCTTCCCGGGGGTTCTGTGACTCAGAGCATCAAACGGAACTGGCCTGGCTCCCTGCTCTCCTGTGGCCTCACCAGCTCCAAAGTCAGGGCAGCATCATGAAGCTCCCCTCTCCGCATTCCCCCAGCCACCTGCCCCTCTGCCTCTCTGTCCTACACCAGCACGGTGGCCCTCCCGGGGATAATTCAAGTACTTCGCCACATGTGCCTCTGGTTCTTCCATGAGCTCTCCTGCTTGCATCAGGATGCTGGCTTCAGGTGGCTGTGCCTGGCCAGCCGCACAGATTGGGGTGTCGCTGCTGTTTCCAGAACTTCTCCAGCTGGCCCTCTGCTCACAGAGACCCCACAAACAGAAGGAAACAGTGCCCAGTCCCGTGACATCCCTGGTGATCGGGCCAGATCACACCCCTGTGCTCCATCGGGTTTTCACTGGCTGATTTTCGGCTGTCAATGGCCAGCTCTTTCTTCCAAACTCACCAGAGTAGGGAAGCGCCTCTGGAACCTGTTCGTCGTCATAGCAACACGCAAGCCTCCACTGGCTAACTTGTGCTGGCTGCGCACAGTGGGATTTGGCCTGGGAATCCGAATGGACCAGGCTCTCCCTTGTGAAAGGGACAAGAGAATTAGACCCCTGAACAGGGAAGGAGGGGGCTCCAAACAGGGTACAGCATTTTGTCCAGAGTGGCATCAGAGGTCCCGGGGTAATGCAGCCACGGATCTGTCAGGAACACGCCGCCCCCACCAAGGAACAGCGCTCTGAGGAGCTGGTAGCTTCTATCTGAAGGACCCTTGTTCGTTCAGCAAGAGGCTACGAAGGAGGCAGGCTCTGGGTTGCTGTGGCAACTGGCCAGCTTGCCCACAGTGACTGCAGGATCACAGACGGCTGCTCCAGCTTCCTGATCCATGTTCTCCACCAAAGCGGGGAGCCATGGGGAAGACAGGGCCTCCAAAACATGCCCCCCGCTTGCAGCTCACCCTTTTCACCAGAAGAGCAGCTTTTTCTAGTAGCTTCCACAACAGACTCATTTGCATCTCACCACCTGGAACTGACCTCTCAGCCTCACCTACTGGGAGGTCGGGGAACCTGACCCTGGTCTGCCTTAGCAGCGAGAGGTGGCGACTGAGTTGGGGGGCGGTGGGGGGGGGGCGGTACAAGTGGCTGGTAGATTGGCTCCCATGACTGCTAAGATGGAGAGTCTTGATTTGCCCCCAGGGTTGGGGCCTGGGCCCCAGCTGCCCTGAGAAGGTGAGAAGGGGTGTGGACTGAGGATAATGCCAGCTTTCTGTTGGCAGGAGAAGGATTAAGCAGGATGCCTGGCCCCTGCTTAGAAGCCCGCTCTGGGGCCAAGTGCAGGGAAGCAGTGCCTGGCAGGTCCTAGGCGCTCGATAAACCCAAGCTATTCTTGGTTCCCTTCGCTCCTTCCCCCACACCACCCCCACCCCCAGCAGCTGCCTACAGTGATTGGATAGAGTTCTCCAGTTACATTAGACTATGCTGGAGTGACAGCACTGGAGAGCCTGCGTTTGAGGCAGCCTTCCTTTTGGGAACCTGCCGAGGAGCAGGAGCAGGCTCCGCTTACTGCGGAAGAACGCCAGGCCAAGCAACTGAGTAACCAGGGTGCCTGCTGAGTGGCCCTGGAGCTGCCTGCAAATCCCCACCAGGTGGACAGATGTTGACACAGCATTCCTGGCCCGTCCTTCCTCCGTCCTTCACCTGGCCACCCAGCCCCGCTGAGACAGACGGAGGCAGGCAGAGCGGCTGATGGAGGACTTGGAGCCCAGCCCAGGCTGCTGGAGGGGAGGAGCTGGCCCCAGTGTCCCTGGGGCACCAGGTGGAAGGGTGCAGTGGCAGGGCATGCTCCTCAGCCTGCCCCATGCCCCCTAGGCAACCTCCTCACCAGGAACTTCAGTGCCATGTGTAGTTTCTGGGGCTCCACTGCAAATCCCACACTGGGATTGGGGCTACTCTGCTCTTAGAGCAATCCCTCTCTCCTCCTCCTCGAAGTCTCAGCCCAGCCCTGCCCCCCTGAACAGCCTGACCCCATGGCCCTCCATGTTCCACAGAGCCCAGGCCGGCCCCAGCAGAGCCTGCCTCACATGTGGTAACTCCGTGTCATAACTGCCACGGTCTCTGTGTCTTGCTCTCCATCACAATTAGTCTAGGATCTCTGGGGTGCAGACAAAGCTGTTTCTCTTCTTTGCCCACCTTCCTGCCAGGTCAGAATCTGGTTCAGAGACATCTGGCGGTTAGAGGCTGCTAGATGTGAAATCAGATTGGGGTATGCGTCTACTTACGCTCTCGACCTGTGCCTTTGACCTTGGCCAAGGGTTTTGAGCACTCTGCTCCTCAGTTCCCTCTCTACAATCGCGCATCAGAATAAAATAGAATGGCCAGGCAGGCATTGGATTCCTCCTGAGTGGCACAATGCGACAGGCGAGTGCTTTGGGCTGGCCGAATTTATACGGTCACCTGTGTAACCTGGAACAAGTTGCTTGCTCATAATGTCCAGGTCCGACGTTCCCTTCTTTTCAAGTGGAACATGGAAAATGAGCTACTGCGTGCAAAGCGCGCTAGATGTTAAACCAAAACTGAACCCATTGTCACCGAGTCCATTCCAACCCTTAGCAGCCATATAGACAGTGGAACTGCCCATAGGGTTTCCAAGGCCGACATCCCCCCTCCTCCTTTTTTTACGGAGTGTGTTACCTCCCTAGTTTTATTGTTCCCCTTAGAGACCTGTCTGTTATTTTTACTTATTGAGCCAGGTGGCCAAGGACCACCATCTTGGAGATGCCACCAGTCTCAGATTTTCCAACCAGTAAGCCTGATTCAACACTGCAGGCTTCAGTGTGGATTACAACCCCAATGTCAAGCAAACCCGAGTCCTCGCAACCAGACCCATAGGCATGAGCACGACAGACTGAGAAAACGTTGAAGTTGGCAAGGGTTTTGTGCATCTCCCATCCACGCCATGGGAGCAACCGTCAAGCACTCAAACGATGTGTCGGGCACATCTACTGCCCAAGACCTCTCTGAGATGTGGGAGAGCAAGGATGTCATGTGGAGGACTAATGTACATCTGACCCACACTGGATCCTTTCAGTTGCCTCATGTACATGCGCTTGGCAGAAGGACAGCCAGAAAGCTCCCTGAAATCGAGGAGGGCGAGGCTTTGTCTCAAGTGCTTTGGACATGTTATCAGGGAAGACCGGTCCCTGGAGAAGGACATCATGCTCGGCCTAGTGGAGGCCCAGTTAAAAAGAAGGAAGACTGGTCAACAAGGTAGATTGACACCCACTGTAGCTGCAACAAGGGGCTCACATAACAGGATTGTGAGGGTGGTGCGAGACCAGACAGGATTTGGTCTGGTTGTACATAGATAGGGTTGTTGTGATCGGATCCAGCTCAGCGGCACCTGACAACATCAAGCCTGATCTTGTGTAGGATGTTGTGTTTAGTGCCATGTTTTTCTCTCTATCTAGGAACCTCTATTGTGACCCCTTTCAAAGTGGTCGGTAGTGGTAGCTGGGCACCATCTAGTGCTTCTGGTCTCAGGGTTCTGAAGGATGATAGCCATGTGCATTCATCCATTGGCCTAAGGCAGCGGTTCTCAACCTGTGGGTCTTGACCCCTTTGGGAGTCAAACGACCCTTTCACAGGGGTCGCCCGATTCATCACAGTAGCAAAATGACAGTGATGAAGTAGCAACGAAAATAATTTTATGGTTGGGGTGGGAGAGGTCACCACCACATGAGGAACTAAATTGAAGGATCTCGGCATGAGGATTGTTGAGAGCCACTGGCCTAAGGCTTTCCATGCATCTTTGAGTTTCTTCACTCTTTTCTCCTCCAGACAGAGACCAGTAGTTGTATCTTGGCCACTCGTGGGCGTCTAAGGTCCTACAAGGCTGTGTTCCTCACAGAAGCAGGTGGCTGCATCTTTCTCAGCATGGCTGGAGGAGGATTTGAACTGCAGACCTCTCCGTGAGCAGTCAAGCCCTTCACCGCTAAGTACTGGCAGTGGTGGGTTGCTCATTGCATCCCCACAGCAGCCCCCTGAGGCTGGTCCACATGTTTGATCGCTGTGTGCAGACGAGAGGCCTGCACCCAGAAAGGAGGGCCCGGTCTTGCTCGAAGGACCTGCAGGACTCAATGGGCTATCGTGCATGTTGTTAGTTGCCACCAAGTCATATGCAACTCACAGCGACCCCCGTGTGACAGCCACTGAGGAGACCATCTGCTACTGTGGACACGTGTACTTCGTACAGCCTCATAAGCCCTAAGGAGCAGTTGTACTCTGCCCTGTAGGGTGACTTTGAGTCAGAATTGACTAGACCGCAGTGGGAAGGGGTGTGTGCTCGCTTGTTTGTTTTGTTTTTGTTTTGCTTGTTTGTTTTTTAAATCTCTGTTGCCAGCTCATTCTCCCACAGATCTGCTGAGTAGGTTCAAACTGCCAACCTCTGGGTTATTCGAGGAGGGCTTCGAGGCCCTGGCTCCTGAACAGTAGCGTCTTGCTGTGTGGAACCCGACCACCCTTCCTTCCTTCCTTCCAGAATGGGAAGTTACTGGCAGAGAGAGACGGAATGAAGAGGCGGACTGAGGAGTTGACCATAGAGAAGGAAGCC